TTTTTATATATATATATAGAAGACTTTAACACTAAAAATAAAAAATCGAAAGCCTATTATTTTGATAGGGACACTTATCAAAAAAGTGAATGTAGAGATATATTTAATACTGCCTTTTTTATTATAGATTTTTCTCAACATAATAGAATGAAATATTTGAAAAACTAAAACAACACTTGCTTTATTGAATGTTTAGGCTAGTGATAAAATATATAGAACAAAATGATATTAAGAATAATTTTAATAAATTATTTTTATTATATATTTAAAAATTTAATATTAAACATTAAAAAATACTTAATATTTACCATATATAACAATCAAAATAATATTTATTAATAGAATTCATTTTATCATATTTTTTTTCGCTCTTTCGTACAGAATTCATAGACCCATTACAATACAATACTGCTGATCATCGACCAAATCTATATATTGCAAACAATCATAGACTATTTTCCAACTTTTTAAATGTAATTTAAAGGTTTAGATATTTTCAGCAAGCACATAATGTTATAATTTATGCATATTGTAAATGAAGGAGTTTTTAATTGAAATAAGTATCTAAAAAAGTATCCTTTATATTCACAAAATTTTGATAGTTGGTAGTAGAGATAAAATAATTTAAGTTATTCTTTTTAAATTTTCTGAAAAAATTTAGAAGGGTACGCATATGTTTTTGAGGGGGTTTTCACCCAGTGAAAATCCCTGCTCATCCTTACCAGTACATGGGCTGTCAGATTTGTGTTTCCGTTCTACGTGCTACATACACAATATATAAACTTGAAATAATTAAACAGAATTTCAGACCCTTTTGAATTTTAAAACATTTGGATTGGGGGAGGGGGTGAGGGGGGGTCATAATATTATTTAAAATAAAAACTAGCAAACATGTACTAGTGTTGATAAAGGACCTGATTTTCAAAAATGATCAACCCAATATTTCAGCCAAAAATATTACTCAAGCCTGGAAATTTTTCTCAATGGTGGAAAAGATTGGACATCTATTAATGAATTCTCGAGGCCTGCAATTATATTAATTTAGCTAAAATTTTAATTTAAAATCGGCTAAGATCGAAGCCGTTTAACAACACAACTAAAACTGTAAGTTAACTTTATAACGGTTTGAATGTTCAAATTTAAGACCCGCAAAGACTGGCCCGTCAAAAATTTTTGGCGTAATTTACTAAGCACGTTATAAATTTTTTTTAAAAATTCACCCGGTCAATTAAAATTTTATAAAAAGTCTGGCCAGGCGTGATATTTAAAATAATTGTTATAAGCACTAGGAAAATATATACTTTTTTTAGAAAAAAAAAATAAAAAAATTTCATTAGAATCCAGGATAAACTTTGTATCGGCATAAAAAATGACCTATTTATTACAATATATCAGGAAATTGATGATAAAAGAAATATTTTAGCCAAATTTATTATTTTTTCATCTAAAATAAAAAAAACTTATACCTTTCTTTCTTTATAATAAAAAACTGAACATTGTGAATATTTTTTTTTTAAATATTCTGTGGGGAAAAATAAAACATTAATATTTGATAACTAGATTAAACGCTCATTTTTTTTGTTGTTTTAAAACATTCATTCATTCATAATTTAATTCAATATCTTATAAATTCCCCTCAATATTACGATATATTGCTTCGATGTTTTTGATATGCATTTTATTATTCCCCTTATATTGTGATAAATTGCCATGATGTTTTTGAGATATACTTTTATAATAATTTTTATTATGATAAAATACCTAACATTGTCATTGATTGGTCACATTTTATTATAATTAACATCATTGGCAACAAAAAAATATTGTTGTGCTCTAAATTTACTGCTAATATGTAACCAAGAATAATTTAATTATTTACATAAATAATGACTTTCATGTACATAATATTACATCTCACAATACAGTTTTCTTATTGTCCCCCAAATTAATATTTACGATTGCCAAAAATTATCTATTAAGGACGTTGTGATATACACTTTTTATTATACTCTCGAAATAAAATACAAAAATTTCGCAAATAAGCCAAAAAAAAACATTGAACATAAGATATATCTTGGTAATTATAACAAAAAATAGTGATGAGTGTATTTATAAAATTATGTTAATTTTGATTTAATTTTAGGGGACATTTTCAAAAGACGTTTTAATATCTTTAATAGATACAAACAAAAAAATATATAAATTTAGTTTTATAAGAGGTATTAATAATGGTACCACGTCAATTCAGAGCGGCGACAATTTGGCACGGCGTCATTCCGGCACGCATCTAATACAGTTGAAATTTATTAGTATTAAGAAGTCATCAAGAATGTCGGTCCTATTAATTATTTCCTCATATTCTTTTTTTATAAAAATCTCATGGGTAATAATCAAAAAAAATTAACAACCAATATTTATTACCGTTTTCATTGCTAGGACCAATTTACCAAGTTATAAGGTATGTTGGTTGATTAGTGTCGTTAAATGGCTCGATTAAAATTTTAGCCAATATTATGTAAGACTGGAGATTTCGAGCATAGATGTAAGAAAGGTATGGACTTTTATCTTGAATCTTACATATTATTTTGGCTAAAACCATGAGAGGTAGTTTTTTGAAGTTGACACAAATCGGTCTCTTTTAACAACACTAATGTTGATCGGAAAAATTTCAAATTAAGACCGACTCATTTTCTAGATTTATTTAAAATCCTTATAACAATCCTATTAATCATTTTTTTAAAAAAATATGTATTATGTTGAGGCTAATTTTTCTATTATATAGGTATGAAATTATGAAAATAAAATTTAATAAACAATATATTTCTGGTACGCAACCCCGGAGATCAATTAGTATCGGGATACAGCTGAAAATATTATATTAATCGTATCTGACTACGTAAATCGCCCGATTAATGATTATTTAATGTTCTTTTAAACATATTTTTAGCATGTTTTACTGTCATTTCATAAATAAATAAAATTGTGCGTTAATTCGTTTTTGACTATTTTATAATAATAGAAAAAATTAGCCTAAACATAATATATATATATTTTTTAAATGATTAATAGAATTATTTTAAGGATTTTAAATTAAAAAAAATCTAAAATTCTTAATTTGAATTTTCTTAGATCAGCATTAGTGTTGTTAGACAGCCGATTTGGGTGTATTTTTAAAAAACGGTCGATCAAGATTTTAGCCAAAATAATATGTGAGATTCGAGATAGAAGTCATACTTTTCATACATCTATGCGCAAAATCTCCAGGCTTACACAATATTGACTAATCAAAATACATCATAATGTGGTAAATTGGTCCTGCAAAATAATCGGTATAAATATTGATTGACAGTTGTTTTTTTGATATTATTAATTTTTTTTTATTGGTATTAAACATTTATTTACAATAAATTGCAACTGTATTAAATGCGCGTCGAATTGGCGCCACGCCGAGTTTTCACCGCCGAACTGAAGTGACACCATTAATAATAATTAGGGGTGTATCGATACCACTTTTTGAAGGCCGATCCGATATTAAATTGATATCGGCCGATTACCGATTTGTAATTTGTAAAGATATCAATGGTTTTAATTTTTAATATACTTTTTATTAGAATAACATCTATAATATAACTATACCAGAACTTATGTCATTTAAATATATTATAATGATCAGTCAGTTATATTTTATATTCAACTTAATTGCAATTCTAAAAGTATATAAAATATTGTTATTGTTAAATCGCTTTAATATAACATTAATCTATATATACATAATAAGTAACAAACAAATATATTATGAAATTTGAAATAAATATTTAACATTAATATATCGAATTTTCAGAAATACCAAAATTTCAAATTTATCAAAGGTCATCCTGCGGCGATGGTAATTGTCAATATCACCAGCTTCACTAAAAACAGATTCTAAAGAGACTATCGCACACTTTTATAAACAAAATGCGCGAAAAAAATAACAATATGGCAGAATGTTTATTAATTATTATTATTAAAAAAATATACAAAAATAGATTTAGAATTTATTTATAAAAATAACTGATTTTAGATATAACTTTTTTTTTAAAGTTTTATAACATTTTATTTTTGTTAAAGACGCCATTATATATCGGATCGTATAGGGAAATTTTATAATATTGGCCGATAACCTATATTTTAAAATTGATTAAATATCGGCCCGATCTGATAAAAAATATCGGCCCGATCTGATAAAAAATATCGGTACATCCCTAATAATTATAAAAAATTAATTTTAGAAAGACTGTCTTCTCTCCTAGAATCCTTCAGCATTCTTATGAGTTTGGTTTATAGTACCCCAAACAAGCTAGAATTTTAATTAATTATGTATATATATACAAAAAAAGGTTAATTATTATGAACTAGAATTTTCACTGATTTTATTAATGTTGGAATCTATATTCCAAATTTGAGTTATTTTTAAGATTAAGCATTCCAATGATTAGCTGAGGGCTTGTTGAAACCATAATAGACAAAATTTATGTTTTTTTTAAATTTTTTTTAGTTAACATAGGTAATTAATCTTTTTTTCATTCTATTTTGATAAATAATAATTTTATGATATAAAAAAAATGTACTTTATATTTAGAGTTAAATATTTTTAAACCTTATTTTAGAAAACCTTGGCACAACTTATAATTATCTTTAACATTTTATATCTAATAAAGCATAATAAATTAAAATAAATATATATTTTATTGTTTAGGTTAGTTCTAATTATATCAGAAAATAGAAGAGAAATGGATTTCATTTAAAATTGTGGTTTATTAAATTCCATTGGAGTAAATATTTTATTTTTTTCCATTGGAGAATTGAAGGGTTAATATTGGCTTATATTATTCACATGGAAAAGATTTAAATGAATTGCATATGCACTTTATTGATAAGGTTGAATTATATTATACTTTATTCATGTTCATAATATACACAATAAAAACAAAGTATCTTATAGTTTTTTATTTTATTTTTAAAATAATTATAAATTTCCCATGCCAAATTCATGAATAATAAATATAATATATAAAGCATTATAGAAGGAAAAGATATTATTTTTTAGAGATGAGAGGGGAAAGAGGTAAAAAAATCAGTAAATATTATCAATCAGTGATTAATGGTTAAAATATATGGTAGCATAATCACCAATAAACTTCCAATTTTTAGGATAAATTAAAATAGGTATTTTTATATTTTCAGGTGATAAACCAACAATCGTATCACTTTTAACAGTTCTTAGAGTAACTAAAGGAGCTGGGGTAAAACGCCTTAGGGAGTCTTTAAATGGGGTTTGTGGTTCCCATTTCAAATCTCCAACCAGTTTCCTGAAATTTAAATCACCTTTAAAAATTATCAAAAGTGATTTGGAAAGTTCTTCATATAATTTTGGATCAAGTTCTATCATTGCATCATAATCATTAGGCAATGTCCAATACATATTATCAATGTATATTAGGCTAGGTTTTGAGTTATTAACTGTTTCTTTTTCAGGTGTATCTAGAAGGTTTCCCATTAATTTTAAAATTTCCTGAGCAAACCATACTCCATAATAATTCATATTATTATCTAATTCTTGGGTATTATTTGTTTTTGGCAATTGACTATTATTTTCTTTGTCTGACAGATTAATATCACAATCATTTGAAATTTCACTTACATATCTATCATTATATATACAATTATTTTCTTTATTGTGATATGGATATAATAACCATGTCAAAAGACTTTTCAGATCTTTTGCAGTTGCGTCAGACACAAACCAAGGCATATTCTTGCCTCTTATTAGTATTTTGTCTGCAAGATTTGTCTTTAATAAAAAATAAACTAAGACAAGGTCAGTAAATAATTCAAATCCTGAGTTATCAATGATTAAATTGATTATTCTAATATTAGAATGGTTTATAACATGGCTACCCTTCTCATTTAAAATATTATTATATGTTTCATTCTTTGTTTTGATAAGATATTCAAATATTTGTTGAGAATCATCACATATTATATGTTGATCATATGTATGTAATTTGGTCAAAAGATTATCACTAACTTGTGGGACATTCATATTTGATAAAAACAAATCAAATTTATTACCCCATAATGAAATCTAAAAGAACAATTAATTAAATGCTATTAAAAACTTTAATACTTTCAATATTTTATTAAATATTTCCTGCAACTCTATGTTTTCCCATCCTATTTCCTCTAACATTTTTATATATTTACATAATGCATATATGCCATTAATTGAATTTTTAAAGGATTTATCTTTTGATTCAGAAAATGGATCAAAGTCTTGTAAATACTTGCTTAAATAAACTTTATAAATTATACAATATTTAGTGACCTTTTATAAAATATTTCATTGATATTCCTGTACATATAAGATTCGACAAATAAACTAGGACTTTCATACCAAGTAATATTTGAGTTATTCTTCAATAATCTTTCAAATTCCTTATTCCAAAAGTCGATGTCATTTTTATCGCTTCTAAATTTTTCAATAGCCTTATTATTTCGTAATTCATAATTTAATTTTAAAAGTCCACCATTTATTTCCTCAATATCCTTTTCAGCTTCCTTAAAACAATTATAATTATATTATAATTATAATAAATTACAATTCCATATTTGCTCCTAAAATCTTTGTTACTTCGGTTCACAAAATTTATAACCTGACCCAAAATAGTGGGTAATCGATATTTTATTATAACATATGCAAACGAACTGCAACAATTGAGATATAAATAAATATAAAATAAAATATGTATTACTCTTTATCTTTAGCAGATAGGGAATCTGGGAGGGTCATAATAATTATTACTTTCGTTGATTGGACGAATGTTGAGTTAAATTCACTTATTTTAATTGCAATAAAATAAGTTGTAAATTTTTATGAGAAAATGTAAAATAGAGTACATTAAAAATTCAAATTTGGCTTATTAAATAAGGTTTAAATTTTAAACATTTAATTCTATATCCTCTTAAAAATTTAATTATTTAAAAAATATTATTAATTTAATATTTAAAATACCATAATTAATTTATAATTATCTCCAAAGAAAAATAGAATGATATATAAATTCCAACAATATAAATATATTATCATTCATAAATTATTATTGTAGTAAAATGAATATGAAAGTTGGGGTTGATTTAAAAAATTTCATATTTGAATAAATAATTTAGTAAGTTTATTTTATAACCTTTCTCACAAAATCATTTTACATCTTTTTTTGGATAAACTTTATTTTAAATTTAACATTTTTCTTATTATGTTATTTTTATATTTTATCTTCCATATTAATCAAATATTTATTTTTGTAAAATGTATATAATATATATATATATATATATATATCTGAGATGTAAGTGAATAAGGAAATAAAATAATGTTAATTTTGATAATAATAACATAATGTCCTGGTACCTCTTAGTGAGATATACATAAAAAAAAGAATCATCAGCTTTAGTCCCACTAAGATTTGTGTAACATGCAAAAATAAAAAATTTTCTTATGAAAATAATTCTATAAAAGGTCAAAAAAAATATTTTTATCATTATTACTACATTTATATTTCAAATTTTAATAAACTCTCCATGTTCTCTTTTAAAATTATTAATATACCCATAACCATATCCGTTGATGATATACTAATTGAATTAATCTAAAACTAAAGTTGATAACTTTCGAGGGTCCAACTCATAAGGTGTTTTTTTCTTCAATTTTATAGTTTGAAGAAAATGCTGAAATATTATGTAGCTTTAAATAAAAAATTTTACGTATTTAGTGATATAGAATTCATTGAAATTCTATGTATTTTTGTTAAAATATAAATTATAATGCAATTTGGAAACATTATTAATTATTTAATTAAATAAACGATTTATAAAGTTATTAATGGATGTTAAACCCACTGAGTTACCATATAGACTTCCCTAGTTAAACGGAGACTTAACTGAGGTGTACATTGACCGTGTACTTAATTATTTTACGAACAGCACATCATGACTCTGTTAGAATTAATAAATTACTTGCTAATTTAACAGATGATGTTAAATCCAAATGTTCGGACATTGGAATTTTGGACTTTAACTTAATAATAAAAAAACTTAGATATTTAATACCTACACAAGATATAAATATATTAATTAATAAATTTAATCTAGCCTCCCAAGGCTCAAACAAAAATTTTTTGATTGGTAATTACGATTATCCAAACTTAGTAAACAATGCGTTTTTCCTGATGACAACCGTATTAAGAAAAAACTTAGGAGATATACTTAAATGATAACATAAAACATAAATTAAGCAAAAGGTGGATATAGGATGAAAGTTAGATATAGTATTAATATACATATAAATATTATCAAAGTGATTTAACATAATTTTATTATATTTCTTTTTTCGCTTACATAAATATACATAATACAAAAATAAATATTTGAATAATAAGTAAGATAAAATATAAAAATAACAATAAGAAAAAGGTTAAATCTAAAATAAATTTTATTCAAAACTGTAAAATGATTTTGTGAGAAAGATTATAAAATAAACTCGAGAAAATATTTATACAAATATGTAACAATATCAAAAGGAAATAGATAAGGTAGTTTTTATTTTCTATCTTATTTAATTCAATTGATCTTTTACGTATTAAAACCTATAATATTCAAATAATATTGTATTATATAAACAAATATAATGTTTAATACGATAACCTTTTTATTATAAACTACATTTATCAGATATTACATATCTTATCTTCCCCCAAATTCAAGTTTCGTCTATTAATTTTTTACTTACTTTTGTTCCTCGTCGGATATGGGTTTCAGGATTTTTTTAATTAAATTCCTTCTTGTTTACTAGGTTCTATTATTATCTTCACTTTATTAATTTGTTATAATGTATTTGAACTTTTCTTTTTCTTCCTCTTTGTAAGATAATTTAGCCTGTTTATTTCTATTTCCGTTATTTTTTATGAATATTTTAGTTGAATATCTATATTTTCCCTTTTCCACTTGATTAGGTTTCACTATAAATGCTTCCAATTTTTTAACGAAGAAGATATGACCCAGCTATTAATGCAATTAGTTATTTTTAGCCGGTATTCATGATTTTTTATTATATAGTTTGAATGCATCTTTCTACAAGGAATAATTTTTCTGGTGTAATAGTGTAGTTTTTTTTGTATGCTTGATTTTGTACGTTTATACCATTTGCTTTTGTCTATTAGATAAATTGTTTTCGACGTTTTGTAATGATCCTTAGGTATACGCAGCGTTTACATGAGCGGGAGGGGTAGGAACAGTTTGCATCCTTTTTTTGAGGGGGTAAGCTGCTTTAATGGGGGTAGGATATTTGGGGGTTATCTATAAATTTTGAGATGAAATAAGACAAAGTTTATTGCTGTAAAAATTAATACTTTTATTATAGTATTATTATAATACAATTAATCGACCAAATCTATATATTGCAAACAATCATACACATTGTTTTCCAAATAAACTATCCTTTTAAATATAATTTAAAAGGTTTAGATATTTCAGCTAGCTCATAATAATTAATTCATTGTAAATAATGGAGGTTTTAATTAAATTTATTATCTAAAAAATAAATTCTTTATATTCACAAAATATCGATAGTTGGTAGTAGAGATAGATTAATTTAAGTTATCCTTTATAAATTATTTGAAAAGAGTATCAATAAATAAATAGATGAAAATAATGATATAGAGACATCGCCGCCGAAGGCGGCGGGGATTTTTTAGGTGGGTAGGCAAAGGTTTTTGAAGGGGGTTTGCATCCAGTGAAAATCCTGTCATGTAGACGCTGGGTATACGCTATTGTACATACACGATTGGTCATTCCTCTCTGTAATTATATTTATTATTAGTTTCTCCTCTCGAGGTTTTGTTTATAAATGTTTGTTTTTACTTAATAGTTTGATTTTTAATATTTTCTAAATCTCACCATTTTTTTTCCTGTAATTATAATATCGTCCAAATAAACTGCTATCTTTACAATCAGCCATGTTCATATACCGAATACTTTTAGTGCTGTCTATACCAAATTAAAATTAGAGGTAGTTAGATGTTACGATATTCAATAATGCTTGTGATCATCAATATATCTTAATAAATACCAAAGTCAATCATTCTTGCGGTTAGTGTTGTTAAATGGCTCGTTTTGAGCTGATTTTTTAAAACGGCTAACTCAATATTTTATCCAGATAAATATTACGCAAACCTAAAGATTTTGTTCATAGAAGGAAAAAAGGTATAGACATATATTATCGAAATCTCGAGGCTTAGATAATATTTTCCTGAATAAAATATTAAGTCAGCCGTTTTTAAAAATCGGCTCAAAACGAGCCGTTTAACAAAACTACTCGTGGTCCTTGATATTTAGTCTCAATCCTATCGATTGCCAATTTTTTTAAAACAATTTACCTTAGTTTTGCAATACAAAGTTTTAAATGATTTGAAAAATTTTCAAATGGTAGATAATTATAAGGCCAAGGAAAATTTTAAATCGAGATTATTTATAGAATATAAAAGTAGCATATTTATTTCTGCAGTATAAAGTGATAAATAAATGTAAATTGGAATATATGCAATAAAATTTACTAATCAGTAATATTTTGGAAAATATTTTAGCCGGCATCTAGATTTTTTGGCTGTGCTTATGAATGTTTATAAAGATAATATTTAGGATAACAAAATCAAAGAATAAATAAATATACATGGAAAAAAGTTTTCAATCTTAAAAAATTATTAACTCCAACAGATAGAATTCAGAGACCTTATCCGCTATTTAAATTTCTTAAAAACTAAACGAAATAAACAGCATTATTTCCAAGACCTTACATAATTTACATTATCTAATTGTAAAATGAAGAATGATTTATTTTCGTAGGTTGTAAAAAATATTCTATTTTATAATCTTAATGTTATGATGATTATAAAAAAATTGATTACTTATATTGATCGAATAAGCAAGAAATAAATGTTCCTGAAACAAGTTATAATAAAAATAACCGAAAAAATAAAATTATTAAATAAGAATATTATATTTTAAATAAAAAGAATTCGAGTACGTTATATAAGCCTTATTAAAGTTTAGATTTAAACTGAAAAAATTCACATTTTTTATGTGTCAGCAGGGAGTAATGACATTAAATATTATAATATTAGATAAATAAATAAATGTTACATTTCTAAGGATGGGGATATTATTTATACCCCAGAAACATGAAAACAGTAATATTCTGATCTGATTCCTACTCTTAAATCAAATGTAATAAAAATAGCATACAATTACTCCTACTTTTAAGAGTTGATTGTCACTCTAAGTGTTATTATGATATATTTAATGAACCTTTTTTTTCTAAAATAAATAAAAATAATATATATTTTTTGAATAACAAATTTAATTAAGTCAAATATATTTTACAAAAATGTGCAATAATATATCATATTAAACTATATAAATATTCATTATCCATTTAACTATTATTTTTTTGTTAATAAATTTTTATGGTATTGCAAATTGTGTATCAGCCTATTATTAATTGACTATTTAAAAAAAAAGGAATATTACAAAATATTACTATCACATTTGTGAATAATTTTCTAGAAAAAAAATGCTTGGAGAATTAATCAACGATCAAATTCTATAATTGCATATTCTCCCGATATCATCCAGTTTTGGGGATACGTCTTTTCTGCGATTTCTTCAATTTGAGGAGAAATCCCCACTATTAGATCACTTTTGTTTGTTCTCATAGTTAATAAAGGGGCAGGTGTAAACCGCCTAAGTGCTTCTCTGAAAGATGTATGAGGTATCCATTGCAAGTCACCAACTAATTTTCGAAAATTCAAATCTCCCTTAAAAATTAGCAAATCGGAATGTGATAATTCTTGATATAGTTTGGGATCAAGGTCAGACATTGCATCATAGTCACTAGGAAGGGTCCAATAATAATTGTCCTTGTATTCAATACGAGATAGATCTCTATCATGTAGTGTTTTGCAATCTCTATTTTCCATCAATTGTTTTATTTCTCGAGCAAACCATTTCCCATAAAATTTCATTTCTTCCTTCATATCTTTGTCTATAACTGATATATTTTTAGGATCTTCCCCAGCCTCAGTTTTGTTTTTTACATCTTCTCTGACATATAAATCATTATATTTTTGGTGATTTTCACAATCATCTTCAGGGTTAGATAGCCAAGTTAATAGGTCAATAAAATCTTTAGCAGTTGTATCTGATACATACCAAGGCATTATCTTGCCTCTTAAAATGATTCTATCTGTATAATTTGATTTTAATAAGTAATATGCTAAAACCAGATCAGTAAATAATTCAAAACCAGAATTATCTAATATTAAATCGATTGTGCGAATATACAACCCTTTCTGGTGCAAATTATTAGTGGCACCCAGTGATCTTTCCTTTAATCTCTTTAAGTGATTTAAAACAAACTGTAAATCATTGCGCATAATAAAAGGGTCAAAAGAATCTAAATTCACTAAGGGATTTTCAACAACTTGTGTGGCATTCATATTGGATAAGGATAAATCAAATTTATTACCCCATAATGAAACCTATGTAAACATAATTATTTGCAAAATATATATATAAAAAAAACTTTCATAATCTTGTGAAATATAGCTTCCATGGCATCACTATCTTCCCACCCTAGGTTATTTAGCTTATATAAATATTCACATATTATCAATATAGCATCAATTGAATTCTCAAATGATTGATGTTTAATTTCAGAAAATGGATCAAAATCTTGCAGAAATTTGCTATAGATTGGTATTGAAAAAAATAAATAATAATATCCATTTGTTAATATATTATACCTGTTAAAAAAGGATTCATTAATTTTTCTATACATAAAGGTCTCAATAAATAACCAAGGACTTTCAAACCATAATAAATTACCATCTTTTTTAAATAATTTATCAAATTCACTGTTCCATAAAATTTTATCATCTTTATTATCAGTAATAGGCTCCAATGGTTTATTTGTTTGTATTTGATAATGCAATCTGGATAGAGCAGCATTTATTAAGTTAATATCTTCCTCAGCTTCCTGAAAAAAAATTTAAATTTATATTAAAATTTGTAAAAACTTTAAACCTTGCCATATTTTTTCCTAAATCCATCCCAACTTCTATAAACAAAATCTATCACTCTGCCTAATATAGTAGGCAAGCGATCTCGTACAGTCACATAAGCAAATGAGCTTAATGTAATTATTAAGCTTGAGAAAATTTTTATAAAATTTACTTGCGATGTTTAGCGGACAAAGGTTGAGGATAAGTCATATATTGCCGAGTTAATGTTAAAAAACATATGTTAAAAAATTAATCGTAATAATTGATTTTTTTAATGATACTTGTATTTTCTTATTTTTGTATATTATAGCATAACCATAATTATTTTATACCCCCCCTACGGGTAAAATGCTTAATTTGAAAAATATATCTTGTAAAATACATAAATTAAAAAAAGTGATTAATTCGGAATCTTTTCATGGTTATTCAGAATCTTGATGTTTTTTACGTATCCTATAAAAATTATTGTAATTTGAAATAATTAACACCTAGTGTATAATTTATTTTTGTTTTACTGAAGTTGACATTTTATATTGTTAATTTTTGTATTTTATTATATATTTTTTTACCCTAGATACATATAATTTAATATAGGAAATAAAATAATAAATACAAAAAATATCTTAAATGTACATCAAATCTTAAAACTAAACTACTTGAGTGAATTCAAACTATTTTTTTTTAAATTTAAAAATTAAATTTGAGAATTTTTATACTTATTTCTTTAACTCTATAGTATTGGTGGGTATAACTCCATATTTTATTTTATAAGTTTAGTGACTATTCATACATTAAATGCATTTAAAAACACACATAGTAACATTTTTAGCCATTATTCTTTATAGTTTATCCTTATATAAATCTTTTCACTCTAAAATAAAATTATATATTAATAATAATGATACTAGTTAGCTTTATTTTGTTTTATTCAGTATTTTAAATGCAATTATTATAGAAGAACTCTAACCATCAAATCATACATCATCTTTTTTTAAAAATATAATATTCAAAGTTAACAAATAATTAAAAGAATGTCTAAAAATTTTTGTTAGATGGATTTTTCGTTTCTTCTTTTTATACAATGCGCCACATCATATATTTAAAATATTTGGTGATTGTCACGCCGATTAAATGACATTAATATACATAAATATAATAATAAAATGATTATTAGACGATCAGACTACAAAATGGCTCTACCGCTGAATGATGTATGCATTTAAAATTAATGAATAGCCAATCAAGTAGTATATTACATCTTTGATATTCCTTTTTGTTTTATTATGCTTATCCCATATAGATATTGTCGCCCTTTTTTTATTATAATGGTGTTATAAATGTGTTTTTTTTTGTAAGCGTATTCTTATTTCTTTTGGTTTTATTTTTTTACGGCATAATATATTTCCTATTTGTGACACAATAGGATGTCTATATCACCCCCTCCCCCAAATCAAACAGAATCACCAAAATAATATGTATTATTTTAATGGTTGTTTAATGAAAGATAGAAGGAGAACGTGAAATATTTTTTTATATTTTGAGTTATATTTTTGTACACTTCTTCAGATTTTGATATTAACCTTGTTTTCCCTTTCGCAAATTATCTTTAAAAAACCTTGATCTTTTATTTGCCTTCGATAAAAAAATTTTTTTAAATGAATTGTTTTACCATTTTGAATTTTAGTTAATTTATCGCAACTGCTTTCTGCAACTTACAGAATACGCAGTAAATAAAACAAACATCAACTAACTAACTCTACTTAATTTTTATCTATATAAAGTTAGACCACATTTTCTCATACAAGTTGCTACTAAAATAAACACTAGACTTATTATATGACCCGTTATGGTCCTCTGCGTCTTATATAGAGATGTAATGGGAAGGACATGTTCCGCAGAAAATTATGGAAAAATTGGTAATTCTCTGGAAGAAAATCTTTATTTTATATATTATATATGTAATAATAATAACAAAAATGTTAGAATATCTTGCAAATTGTGTATAAACTGTTAAATAATTATTAATTTATGTTTATTACTTAGTTTATAACTGTTTTTCAAACATCAAAAATTTTTACACTGTAAGGTATTTTTATTTATCAAAACGTCCTTGATTTATTACCATTTTGAAAAATCACATCAATATTTATTTAAGTTTCTTTGCAATAGATGCCATGTAATAATTGAATATGTTAGATTCATTGTTTAAGGAAAATAATCATTTTTAAAAAAAGGCATAGGATTATATAAATATTGACATTCCCAAATATTACCAAAATGACAATATATATCGTGGTTAATTTCCTAGCAATTTGGAATTATGGATTAACTTCTCAGAAACAAGATTATTTATATATTAATATAAATCAATGTATAGGAATGCATTGCTAATGGGAGCTAAGCTTCCACTAATAAGCCAAATAATAAGGCATTGGCTTATATATAGGTTAAATAAATTAATTCAATTGTAGATGTTATGGGAGAATGATTCTATTTTAATTATAATAACCATTCATAGCTTACCGATATTGATATATATTATATATTTAACAAATATAATTTTTAAAAAAATTATTAAATTATTGTGTCATTATCAATGACATAATTTGCTATATTTCCTCATAATTTTCTTATATTTTTATAATTTTCCCATTTTTTTTTATATTTTCCACTAATCTTCTCGTGATTTCCTCAACATTTCTGGGGAAATTTTCCCAAACTTTATTATTTCGTGAAATTTCTAACTTTAATTTTATAAGTTTAAATATTAATAAACTATAAATTTTATTCATAATATTAAATTAACGACTATAACTCATATTAAAAAAAATGATTTAAATCTAATTTATTTTTAACGTCTACGGTCTAGTTTTCTATTTGTTTTGGTTTTTTGATTAGACTATAATCATCTCTACATCGGACATTAAAATTAAATAGTTAAGATCAATAGCAAGATTAAATTTTATAATACAAATTTTGAAAATTAAACATTTTAAATTTTATGATCATCGTATTTAATATATCTCTACTACTCCCTCTAGGTTTCATAAAATGATAAAAATAAAATAACAAATTAAATTTACATCAAATTAGAAAATCAAAGAAATAATTTTCTAAGAACTGTATCGTTGCTTCCATCAGATCTGTTACCTATTTCTGCTTTCATTGTGAAATTATTTGATTTTGAAACTTAGATTTATAAATTAAGGTAATATTGGTCCAAAAAAAAGTAATATATTAAATATTTGCATTGTGGACTTATAATATATTTTATTTATTCAGAATAGCTTAGTAGTATATAACTTTTTCGGATTGGATCCAAAAGTCTTTCAACTTACCTCAGAATTATTATAATGCGAACTTATTATATATATACGACAGGAAGACATGTATATCTATATTTTACGTGTTTGATCATGGCATTTTAAATTTTTGTTACATCTGACGCCATTTCATCCCCTAAAACAGGTTCCTTAAATACTTTGTAAATAGTAGGAAATATGTTAGGGGTAGAGGTAGTGGGACAAAAATGGGCGTGTAGCCTCTAGTTTTCTTTCTCATGAAGACCACATGTTACAAGAGGAATGGAAGGACATATAAAACCCAATAAACTTATTCCCGCGGTATTAAGTGGAATACCAAAGAAGTGGAATTTCAGATAATAAAGTGCTCATTAATTTACTTTCCTTAGCAACTATTAATATTAATAGATGCCCTTGGGAAGTAAATACTCGTATGAGTTTTTTTTTTTAAATGAAGAAAATATCATCCAATATTCTCAATAATCCCAATTAGGAGCAATGGTAATATTTCCTCTATTTTTAGTAATTTTTTTTTTTTTAAAAAAAAACTCAATATAAATACAAGCGCTTACTTTCCCTAGCAGCTATTTATATTAATTTCAAATTGATACTTCGCAAAATTTTCTAGGAGATATAAGTGAGATTTCTAATTTTTTTTAATTTTGTTTTTAGCCATTTAGTAACTATCCTTGAAACCCTCTTATGTAACATTAATTCAGAGTTGTTAAAGGATCTAGATATAAAAATGTGGTATCTGTATCTGTAATCTAGATATATTTTTGATTAAAATATCTGTATCTAGATATTATTTTTGACGATGTATCTTTTAACAACTCTGAACATTATTAATAATATCTTGATAACATTTATAAACCTTGAGATATTGAAATATTTTCATTTTTTTCTTCTTCTTATCTAAATTCGATGTTCACAGGTAAAGTTTAATTTGCATATATTATAAAAGCGTGTTTCAATTTTAAATTCTGATAAATTATCAAGGCTCAATATTGCAAGAGTTTATACATTATATACTCCTTCCTTACTAAATATTAAAAATAATATAATTGAGTTAACTTAAAACAGAAATATTGGATAATTTTTTTGTAAAAGTCGATAATAATTCCAAATTTTTATTCTATTTTATTTCTCGAGGAAAGGTTATAAATTTTATATATTATAATAATTAGATCTCCGTTTATTATTATTTTTTTTTGGAAAAGGAGAAAATCAATTACTCGTACCGCATATATGGTATATTTATTATATAATAACATACAATAAGCGGGAGTAAAAAAATAAGGTTAATTAAAATATGAATATTATATAGAAAATATTAAAAATATAATGTTAAAAAAAATATTTATTTTCCGTTTTATAAATTATTATTATATAATAAAAACACATTCTCACTCCCCCCCCCCCTTCCCCTTTCAATCCTTTATGTTAAAATCAGCGTTATTTTTTTTTTAAACATTATTTAAAATATAGATTCGTTCAAAACTGGGAGAAGATTTTACAAGAATCTCTTGCGAAAATTTAAAAAATCGATAAATATAATTCGTAATTGAAATCAATAAATCTTTTGATTAACTAATTTTTTATTGTATGATTAGCGATTAAAATTCATAACCAAGCAATTAATTTACATTTTCTTCCAACGAATATATACCGGAGGATTTACCCTGAATTTAGTGTAGACCTGGAGAATTTTTAATATTTAAGTTATATATTTCTTCATATTTTTGCGATTGATTTTGTCAGATCGGTATTCAAGCATATTATATATATATATATATATATCAGGGATGTGAACCCGAACCCAGGTTCAGGAAATTAAAATTGTTTGGTTGGACATTTTGAAATCATGGAACACCAGACACCAAATTGAGGACAACTCATTAAACCCGGGGT